AAGCTAGTCTAAAGCAAAACTCCTGTTGGGCTCTGGCGCTCTGTAAACTTGCATTCTGATTCTGGTGCTCCCACTCAGAAGTCCTGAGAAGTTAAGTAGGTTCCTTAAATTCTCGGAATCAGTTTCCTCACCTTTAAAGTGAACTTGTCAAAAAAAATGAAATAAATAAAATAAAATGAAGCTGTCAGTGCTGTGGAAGTGTTGAACTTCCCTGAACGTTCCCATGATTGAGGGAACGGGATATGAGAAATACTGGCCATCCTTTCCCATCTGGGGTGCTTTTCATATTGACATAGTGGTGAATAGGCAGGTGTGCTTTGCCGCTTTGAAGCTCTTCATAGACTTTCAAATCACTGTTCAGTGTCTGCTCTGAGCAGGGTATGTCTGATGGGTGTTTCCAGGGTAGGTGTGCTAAAGTGACTCTGTGAAAGTGGATACATAGCTTTCAAATTTTAGGTAAGCATATGTCTGAGTTTTTCACACTCTGTACCTGGGAAGCTGTGTTTTAAGCTGCTTTCCTGTGATTTTTCCTTCTCATCAGGTATCACCATTTTAGGCCTTTACCGAATCGGAGGAGTGAACTCCAAGGTTCAGAAACTCATGAACACTACATTTTGTAAGTGTTGGATGAAGCCAGTTACTTAATTTTTGTATTCGTATAGAAAGTCCAAACCATAGGTTTCCTTGAGATTTAGATTATTGCTTGTCTGAGTATTTTCAAGTCATATTAAAATTATTAATATCTGTATCCTGTTTTTAATGCCCAGTTATGATAGATGAACAGTCAGAATTTGAGAGGGGGCCTTTTATTTACAATATTGGGCTTTTCCTCAAGTATCCTTTGATTAGCTGGAGGTACAGGAAGATTTATGGATGCTGGGATTCAAATTGCTTGACTTGGAATCCTAAAGCCCCTTGGCCAGTCAAGAGCTTTGTGACCTTGGGTAATTTGTTTAACCTCTCTGTGCCTCCACCTCCTCATTTCTAAAATGAGGATAATAATGGCACCTGCCTCATTAAGAGCTGTACGGATTTGGTATGTTAATCCATATAAAGCACCTAGAAGTATTCCTGGCACATAGTAAATGCTCTGCAATGTTAGCGATTAGCAAACATGTGACATGAGAAACTATGTTCCACACGAAATCGTTGAGGTTCAGTGTCAGAGTGGGCTTTGCACCACCTCGTGCAAACAGCTGTCCTGAGGTTAATTCCATCGGCGTTCTAAGAAATAAATGCCTCTCTTTAACTTACCTATGTTTGTGTCCATTTCCTTAATGGTGAGGGTGACATTTCGAATTGCACAGTTTAAACATCTTCTTTTCCTTCCTTTCAGCTCCCAAATCCCCTCCCGATATGGACATTGACATTGAACTGTGGGATAACAAGACAATAACAAGTGGGCTGAAGAACTACCTCAGGTGAGGGGGCTGGGCTCCCGCTGCCCTTGTGTGATGGCTCGGCCACCCCCTCGGCGGTCACCTTGGGTTCCGTGAGCTCCACTCCTTGGCGCGGGTCCTTCACTTACGGTGGCATCGTACAGGGTGGGGACCTTTATGTTTAGTGTTCCGGAACCTGTGTGTGGTTGTTCAAAGAATAAACCAAAAAGGCTGCAGTGTGTTATGAATACTAAATAATAATTTCTGCTTCATATTATTTTGAATTAGGGTTTTCAATACACAAAATTGAAATGGAAAGGTTTGTTTGTTTGTTTGTTTGTTTTTAACTATTGCCCCCATATCCGAGAGAGATTTTAGTTCTGTGAGCCAAGAAAAATTGTCTCCCAGCCTCCCCTTGTAACACAGTGATGCTAAGGGACATTGGTGTCTCTGAAATCTGCCTTTTAGAGCTGTCTGCAGCCTCCCTGCTAGGACTTTGTCATACATCTAGTCGCTCAATTCTTAAAGGAGCCCTGAAAGTTCAGGGACAATCAGAAGATGCTGCCATTCTAAAATGTGCTTCATCCTCCATTGTAGGTGCCTTGCGGAACCACTGATGACTTACAAATTACACAAAGATTTTATTGTTGCTGTTAGTAAGTACATTTCCATTGGACAGACTGTAATTGCTGTGGTTTTGTGCTGTGTTAGAGGTGTAAGTTCAAACCTGCTAGTTAACATGTTCCTACATACTGCTTAAGAAATTGTCACTCATACTTAATAGCCTACAACATGGTCTATAAGCAAATAAGAAATGGCAGAATGAACTAAAATAATCTGTTACTTAAGAAGACCTCATTGGGGTGATAAGTATTCTGTGATTAGAAAGAGCTGTGAGGAATTATTCTAATTTTATTTTGCTTGATTGATGAATGTCAGATTCTTACAAGAGCAACTTCATGGTTGCTGCAAATAAATACAGGCAGTTATGTGACCACCCCCAGCATACACATCCTCACATGCTGTATTCCTAAATCTGGAGAAAGAGTCAGATATTTTTAGCAGGCGACAAGCTCTTCCATCAGTCCCCTTCCCTTCATGTGATATTTATTGGTGATGATCACATATCTATGTTATTTCTTTAGATCTGTGACTGCCATAATGTGATATAAACAGATAGGTTTAATTCAAAAATTGTGGGGAGTTGGGGAGGAGGAGTCAGTGAGAATCACGTAGACTGAGAAATTTGAAGTGTGTCCTTGTAATACATTGAGCTCAAAGTACCAGGTCGCCGTGGAAGCCCATGGCGACAACTAGTGACGATTAGGAGTTGTCACTTCATTGTTCAGATGTATGCGGTGTGACTGTAACAAGAGTATTTTTCACAATCCAAGAAAGAAATCAGCTGCGTTAGTTTATTACCACACATTGTAATGTCACAGGAAACGTTATCTGCTGATAAAAGTGTCCGATAACGTTGAATGACCTTGGTTTTGAGCCCAGGATACACGACTGACCCCATGATCTCATAAACATCTATACTACTTAGCTTTCTCCTGAAAGCTTTGCACCCCATGTCCTCTTTACAATAATCTATCTTCGTGGGAAGAGCAAAACCTTAGAAAACATATAATCCAACCTCATTCTATTAACCAGGAAATCAGGACCCAGAGCGGGCAAGTGACTTTGTCCAAGGATGCTAGTTAATTCATGACAAGATCAGGACTACAAGCCAGCTTTTTTGATTCTTAACCTAGAACTCTTTCTTATAAAACTTGTTTTGTACCAAATTGTGTTTGATCCACTTAACAGGAATGGCTCAATGAGCCGGTTGTTTTGATGCAAACAGCAGGTCGCAAGATTTTTTTTTTCTCCACTTCTGTGGCAAATACTGAACATATATTCCCTACCACGATAATATGTCTAAGAATTCATCTTTTGTATGGGATACTAGTAACATTTAGTAGCATTTGGTATTATTCAGCTTCAAGCAAGAGAAGTGCAGCTCAGGAAAAAGGGGAAGTTATTCAGAGACGAAGGGGAGTCTCAAGCTGCATCCTTGGCAGAGGATGGGTCATGCCTTCCGTGACCTGCACCAGGAACCGTGAACTTCAGGATCCTCTGCCGGTTCTCCCCACTCTCTTTGGAGGGTTTCTCATTTCTGTTCTTTGCTGCATGTCTGCCACATTCCTTCCTGACAGATTTTCTTGGCTTTGAAGCACATCTGGTCATGATCTGCCTGGTTTTACACGATCTGCCTTTTCCCACGTCCCGCAGACTGAGTGTTGGTGTCTGTCTCCGTTCCAGCTCCCGGGAGAGACCTCATGTTTGGCCCAGCCACAGCTGGGCTGTTTCTCCACCTCACGTCCAGGCAGCCGCACCCAGAAGAGATGGGGGTCCAGTAATATAAACCCTATGTGTTGGGCACTTTCTGGAGAAAGGGCTGGTTCGGGTGGACAGTCCCCCCAGCATTTGTTTATCGTGATAAGAGAATGTTAAATAGGTCCCTTGTTCTGAAGCCTTCAAAGTTTCTCCAGCAGGCATGTCAGCATCGTGGCTTTCTCCTTGCAGCCTAGACTTGCTTGAGATGATTTTTGGCTTTTCAGATTTACCCTTGTCAGCGTAGGCTTAAAATCTACCAGGCCTTTGTGCGCGCAGTAATCCTGACACCGCAGCAAAGTAACTCCCTGCTGTCCTCGAATCTGTAAACTCTGGAAAGGAGTGCCCGCTTCCTCTGATCTGATGGAGTCACTCGGAGGTTTCGGTGTGACAGAGCACTACGGTGCCTCGCACATGAGGCAGTTTATAACAACTGCTGGGATCACTCACCTGGCTAAAGGTTTTATTCTGTCCTTGTGCGGTGAAACCCAAGCCGGAGATGCGTTATGGTTGTACAGAAGGATACAGTTCAGGGGCTGAGAGCTTGGGTCTGGATTAGGTGGAGCTGGGTCTGTTTGCCTTCTCTGCTTACTAATTTCAGACTGTGGACAAGTTACTCAATGTCTCTAAGCCTTAAAAACGATAGTGAGAATACTCACCACATGGAACAGGACTTACAGGCAGGAGGTGGAAGTGGTGATGATGTTTCAATCACTAACGTTTAAGTACACATTTTAATGCAATTAAAATTCAAACATTTGCAACCTTTTATGTTACAGAATCTGACGACCAGAACTACCGGGTGGAGGCTGTGCACGCGCTGGTGCACAAACTGCCGGAGAAGAACAGAGAGATGCTGGACATCTTAATAAAGCACCTGGTCAAGTAATTCTCTGACTTAACATTGTTCACTTAACTCCTTGTTTCCCTGTTAAGTTTAAGTATATTTATGTCTTTTTAAAGGGTGCGATGGAGCCGTAGCATTGCCACTGTAATGAGTCCCATCGAATGTGCTGAAACAGGATGTGGCAGTTTCTTTTTAAGATACATCTGTATGTTTGAGTGTGTGCCTGTGTGTGTTTGGGATACGCAAATAACTATATCCTTTGCACCAGTTATACTAACGATGAAAAATTTACATGTCAACCTAAAAATATATGGAGTATTTAATTCTTTCCTAATTCTTGTAGTTGCATTGTAAGCTCTAGCTCTGAAGACCAGCTCTCTATTCTAGTAGGGTCAGCAGCTTCACCCCTGCCGTGCTAATGTTAGCTTCCTTCTCCAGAGGCATGGTATCTCTTGGTCTTTGAAGATTTTTCTGACTCTCCTGTTAGTTCATCTGTGTATTTAAAAATCTTGATAGATAGATATTGTATTAGTCAGTTTTCTCCAAAGAAGCAGAACCAGTAGGGTGTGTGTGTGTATGTGTGTGTGTGTGTGTGTGTGTGTGTGTGTGTGTGTATACGTACATATATGCATATATAAGAGATTGATTGATTGCAAGGACTTGGGTGCCTGATTGTGGTTGCTGATTTCAGGGCAGGCTGGAGACCTAAGGAGGAGCTGATGTTGCAGCTCAAATCCAAGGCAGTATGGAGGCAGGATTTCTTCCTCCTCAGGGGATCTCAGTCCTTTCCTCCAACTGATTTTGGATGAGGCCAACTCTGTTATGGAGGGTGGTTTGTTTTACTTAAAAGTCTACTGATTTAAATGTTAATTTCATCTAAAAAAATACCTTCACAGAAATATATAGAATTATGTTTGACCAAGTCTTTGGGTACTGTGGCCTAGCAGATCTGACATGTAACATTAACCATCACAGACCTGTCTGTCTAGAGTCACACATACGTACACACTTAATCCAGAAGTTTTTTTTTTTTTGCCATTCTGCTGGAAACAATAACCCAAATGCATAAGAATTCCCCCACAGCCTCATTTAAAAATAGATTTTTTTTGTCTTAATGAGAACCACTATTTGCAATCAAATGATTTATTCTTCCTTGTTTGCTACAGGTGGTGACCCAGTTGATGCTCGTTTGAGCTGTGCACATTGGAGATACTGCTAAATATTAGTGTCTCATTTTAATTTGCAGGCCTTGAGATAACATGAATTACCCCCACCCCTTGAAATAAGAAGGAAACCCACTAGGAATGACATCCAGTTCATTGTTAACTATTGCTTGTGGCAACACCTCTTTTAGCTAATGAACCAGGATTCATTATCCTTGGTCAGAATTACGTAGTCTTGAATTATATTTTTGAGTTCTTCGTGAAACTTAACCACATTGTATTTCCTGGGCATCTCTTGCTGTATTCAAGCAAATTTGTTAGTAAAGTCTTTTAAAATGGACTTTTTTTTAGAGCCTCATGAATGTCACGTAAAATGTTTTTGCTTAATTATGCATGAACACAGTCCTTACCGTTAATTATGAATTTGATACAGGAAATAGCAGAGATTATCTGGTCACTGAAGAGTTCTTAAAATTCTTTTGCTCAACCTTCACCACTGTTCCTGAATTCTTCTTAAACCTGTAAGAGGTCAATCTCCGTGCACTGGGCAGTGGCCGTAAAATGTGTGTCCACGTCACCAGTAACTTACTTAAGTAAACTATTAACAACTAATAACACTCTTGGTCCCTGGCCACCTTAGTGGCTTCAAAAGAATTTAAGATGAGTGACCTAGATTGGCCAGTGGTCTAAAGGATCCAAGACTGGTTCCAAATCTCCATCAATCAGTGTTAGACATGGTATCAGTCGTTGATTTCTTTTTGAGAATACTTTGTCTGTAAAACGTGGCCATCTGTGGTCTCTCCTATGACTCAGACTGTAAGTATTTAGAAGTGCAGTTGGGTCTTTGCTTCGTGCCCCAGAGGGAGTGAGGTGTAGAACTGGCTGAAATGCGGGATGGCAGGGGTCTGTACCACCTCACTAGCGCAGCGGAAAGGACAGTCAATGAAGAGAAGATGGGTGATGAAAACAGTTCATCTTCTGAACAACACATTCACCACCTCTTCTTTTCAAAACAAACCAGTTTTTGTTTACAATTTCTCAATTTATTCCCAGTGAGCTGAATATTAATCACAGTCTAGGTTACTTAAACTTCTAGAATTTACATTTTAGCAAGTGTACCTAGAGCTGATTTAATTACATAGAAAAATATTATTTTAAGGTCACATTTTATTCAGTTTAACTCATTTAATTCTCTCAACCCTGCTCTGAGGGTTGTTATACTTTATAGATGAGGAAACTGAAGCCTAGAGATAGTAAATAACTTGGCTGATTGCACCCAGCTTCCAGGTCGGAGGGACCCAAGCTTTGAATCCAGACAGGCTCACTGCCTTTACAGATGACTTAGTAGATTCTCTAATGCGTATTGAGCAATTAACATATAACATATGATTGTATAAAGCGGGAACTTAGAATGAAATTCTTCTTATACTAACCAAGAACCTTCGTAGCTAGTGCTGTCTTGGGCACAAGGGAAAATATTCAGTCAGTGGGACAGCCAGCTCTTCCTGTCTTACACCAACAACTGCTTGGATAATCCAGAGTCCTGGATTCCTGGTAAAAAGTTTCCTTTTGCTGCTAGAATGAAGGTAGTGTGCACGCTCACTCACTCAGTCAGACATAAACGTGATCTTGCGTTGTGCTCCGTCCCAGCACTGTACGTCCTAACAGCCTGGCTGGGAGTAAGATAGAAAATGCAATGGTTAACTTAGAAGAGTGGTTAAATAAATGAGGTTTCCTCTTAAGAATGCATCCAATTTCCAAATTAAATTAGTTAACTAGGCAAAGTCATTTTTGAGAGTTTACTTGGATTACTTTGCTAAGGTCAGTAATGTCAGAAGCTTTTCATTTCATTTTCCTTTTCAAATTACCCCTGAGGCTACCGTATCTCCTTGTCTTATGCTGTTTGCCTAGCACAGTGCTCAGCACTAGGGAGGCACGCAGGAAGGTTTTGGATGGGTGGGTGGATGGATGAGCTCAAGGACTCTTGATTTAGTCAGGAGATCTGATTTGAAACAGAATCTCTTCCCTTAATTTGCTGTGACTTCAAGTACATTATTTTTACCTTAAGAACTTCTTTTTTTTTTTTTTTAATCTGTACAATGGGACAAATTGACTTCCTGGGAGGATTAAATGCAGTATTATCTATGAAAATGCCTGGAAGTAGGTTCTTAATAGTATGTTTGGTGACAACCAGTCCCCTCTTAAGAATCTTTTCTAAAATAAGTATATAGGACTGTAGGAAATACCAAACAGCTGGTAACCTCTTTAGGGCAACTGTACTCAATTTAGGAAATCAAGATTTTTTTCCTCCAATAGATTAACCTTTGTAATTATGTTTTAATTGGGCTAATGTTAACTTTTTACATCTTTTTAGACTCTGCCCACTAATGTCAATTGGGAGTGGCTGAACCTATTTGGGAAAATCAGTCTTTAATGACATGTTTCTATTTTATGCCACCAGTTTGATAGATGAGGACATCTCATAACTATTAAATGCATAACTTAAAATGTTTTTGTTGCTCTTATTTGCAGAGTGTCACTACATAGCCAGCAAAATCTCATGACTGTCTCAAACCTGGGTGTCATATTTGGTCCAACTCTAATGAGAGCACAGGAAGAAACTGTGGCTGCCATGATGAATATTAAGTTTCAGAATATCGTGGTTGAAATTCTGATAGAACACTATGAAAAGGTAGGCTAAATTTTCCTGTGGAAGTATAATATTTTGTTATCTTGCTTCTCAGAAGGAATTTTTGCATTTGTGTCATCTGTGATCTTCACATTGTGATCTTGGATTCCTATGGAGTGAAATTCTTACAAATTTTGTATAAATTACTTCCTCATGAGGACTTGTGATTTTCTTTTATTTTTTTTTCAAGTTTGTAAGTGCTTCTCAAAATCCCACAGGTAGATGGTTTCCTTTCTTTCTACATCATTTACTTGTCAAGATAAGAAACTTCTTTAGTATTTATGTAGTTATTCTTTGCTCACACTCAGAAAATTCTTTAGAATTGCTTTGTGGTTAAGTCTATTTTGGCCTTTTTATCTCTTTGGAGTTAGACCCTTATTACACAGCAAAGCTAACATTCTAAATTAAACAAAAGAAACAGAAAATCAGGGAACAGTCTTGAAATCCTCTTTATATCCAGTCCCTAAGGAGGATTTGTTTAAAATAGATCTTAGAATTGACTATGGAAGCCAAATTGATTAGATTATTAAGCAAACTCAGCCATAAAGGATCTAAGCATGGTGATGCGTTTATGTCAGATCTGGTCCTTGTGAGAGAATCGCTGTGCCTCCCTCCTTCCCCAGCCCCTTTCTAATGACTGTAGAAGAATATCCTTGCGCCTTTCCAAGGCTGGCAGTGCTCTCGCAACCCAGGAGTGCACGGCTGCCTCCTGGAGCTCCGCTGGACCTCTGCCTGCCACTTGTCAGGTTCCTTGACGGCTCAGGGCCAACAGCATGCCAACACCTTCTCCTGAGAAGCAGGGGGCTGCTCTGCTGGGAAATCGATACAGAATGTTCAGCATGAAGGGGAAAAAGAATATCCCAAGAAAAAGAATCAGTATGTCTCAGTATAGACATTTGTTAATATTTGAAACCCTTCTTAAAATTATTGGAAAATCTTCTGAATTTCCCAGTTGGAGAATGGGAAGAAATAAAAAAGAAAACCCAGAGGAGGAACATTACTCAGAGTAAATGGAAAAGAAAGTCATAATTGCCCCAGGATATTTACTGTTTTGTACCAAGCATCTCTTGCTATGCAACTGATCTGAGTAGCATATAATTCTAAGATAATTTAGTAACTCTCAGTGCTTGTTTTATGAGGAAGGTGTCGGTTTCCCCCTTTTATTGGCCTCGCTCCATTTTTCTTCCATGCAGATTTTTCATACTGCCCCAGACCCAAGCATTCCTCTTCCTCAGCCTCAGTCTCGATCTGGATCCCGAAGGACACGTGCCATCTGCCTCTCCACAGGCTCCCGGAAGCCCAGGGGGAGGTACACTCCGTGCTTGGCAGAACCTGACAGTAAGTGTGCTGGCCTCGGCCAGGTGCTTGACTCGTTCATTCAGCTGTATCTCGCCTTCTTGGTAATTAGGTAGAAATGGCTGTTCATACTGATGCTGTCTCCCCCACATCTGCCGTCCTCCCCCATTGACATATTCTCAGTCAGCATAGTTAGACGGTACCTTGGACAAGCAAGTTCATTATTGCTGCAAAGGGGAAAAACTAGTTTGCTCAATACCGTTTTTTTTCTGGAACTGATTAAGTACATTGGGTGCTACTTTGTAGCAGGTTCTGTCCTGCTGTCAAAGCAGGAAGAAAGTCTGGCCCAGGCGGTCCTTTTCTTCCTTCCTTTTTCACATGATGTTCTTAAAGCATCATCTCTTGGGTATCAAAGTGTCCAAATGAAAGAGAAAAGAAGAAAACCTGCATCACACATTATCACTTACTTACTATTCTGGGCCAGGCACCATCATGAGGTGGGTGGCAGCTTGAGACCAAAGCACGTGTTAAACTGGCCATTTTCACTTTAGTTAATGCTCCCCTTCCTCCTCATCCTCAATTCTTTCCCACTGTCAGTATTTAAAAGCACTGATTTTTAAATGAGATTTAGTATTTGAATACTTTATTAGTTTCTGTGATTTTTTTTCTTACACATTACTGTCAGGAACATTAAAAAATACACCCCATGAAATAGCCAGTTTTCTCACGTTGCTATATTCTAAGCAGGAAGAGAAGAAAATCCTTTCTTTAAAAATGGTGAGCAGCTTTAATTTGCAGCTGACATTTAATGGTGCCTTTGAATGAAGGAGGAAGTTGGATAAATTCTAACCCAGAATCACTTCAGATCAGAAAAGTGAAAGAAGGCAGAAATTTGTCTCAACATCCCCCCTTCCATGGCTTTCTTATAATGTCTCAAGGAATCTCTTCTCTTCCTTGTGAATTCGGTTTCAGAAGCAAATTTTGTCTGAATTCAGGTCAACCCACTAATGCTTCAAGAAGTAACATTATTTCATAGGGACAGGGCACATACAAAACCTCCCTTGAACAGTGTGGGAAAATGCATTCACCGGGTTCAAATGCATAGTTGAAAAGCTTTTCTCCAGAACTGAGGGCATTTCTCCAGCACAGGTAAGGCCCTCTCACTTCAGTGCGGTCAGGTGAGTTGGAGACCAGGAGGGTTTGGCGATGCTGTTCTCTCTCCCGCCCCCGCCAGGCGACTCCTACAGCAGCAGCCCGGACAGCACACCCATGGGGAGCATCGAGTCACTTTCCTCTCACTCCTCTGAGCAAAACAGCACCACGAAGTCCGCCTCCTGCCCACCCAGGGAGAAGTCTGCAGGGATCCCTTGGAGTGCATCCCCGTCGCCTTCCAACGGACAGAAGAGCCTGGGGCTCTGGACAACTAGTCCCGAGTCAAGTTCTAGAGAAGATGCAACCAGAACGGATGCCGAATCCGACTGCCAGAGCGTTGCCTCGGTCGCCAGCCCGGGGGACGCGTCCCCACCGCCCATAGACCTGGCCAAGAAGGGGCCGTACGGGCTTTCAGGGCTGAAACGAGCCTCTGCTTCCTCTCTCAGATCCATCTCGGCCGCTGAAGGTAAGCGGAATGGAGCCAGGTAGGTAAGATGTCATTGTGTCCGTGTCTCCTGCTGGATTATTCGACATGATTAAGGAGGGAGAGATGAATCGGGAAGGGACAGACAATGCTTACCTGCATTGTCCCTGAGCTAGGATTTTTTAGACTCCTGTGTGCTGTGACTTTTTTCCTGGCTCCTTCCATCTCTGTGAGGTGATGTCTTTGTAATTACTGTGGATTGTGATCTCCCTGAGTGATGGGCGGCTGTGCTCAGAGAACATTCGGTACCTTCTCATTTGGGCTCAGAGGAGAATGCCTCCTTTTGTTATGCGCAGGGACTGTGTTGTTGCTATTACTTCGTCTAATAGCACCTTGCCTGTTTTCTTGGCTTTCTTTTCAGGAAACAAGAGCTACAGCGGATCCATTCAAAGCTTAACTTCCATAGGTTCCAAAGAGACGCCCAAAGCCCCACCAAACCCAGACCTGCCTCCAAAAATGTGCAGGAGGTTAAGGCTAGACACTGCCTCCAGCAATGGCTACCAGCGACCCGGCTCCGTGTAAGTGACAGGCGTTTGCATGTGCTGTGTCTCCCAGGGACGGATACACGGGGGTTGGGCAGGTGCGAAAGAACCCTTAGGATTCCCACAGCCGGGTGCTCACCTGCAGAGAGGGTGCAGTCAGCTTCCGCAGGACCCGATCCTCCTCTACAAGTGATATGAAAGTTCGAGTACCCTCAGGAAATATATAGAAAATCTCATGGGAGGCACTTTCCTTAGGAGCAGAGCCATGGCTTCATTTAAGGACTTGAAATGAGATGTATGATACAGCAGTTTTGGGTTTTGAAACTAGACGCCTTCCTGTAACAGCCGAACATCCACCACTCAGCTGTGGGGACCCCAGATCCCCGCTGCCCCGTCTCTCTTTGATAGAAATAGAACCAATTTCTAGCTGCTGAGGGTCGGTTTCCCCCCATCTCCGTCGTAGGTCTCTGCTCCCCGAGTCCTCACTCACTGATTTAAAGGAGCTCACAGAGGACAGGGAGCGTGAAGGGCAGAAGGGGTGCTTCTCATCAGAGGAGACGGCCCGGAGGTGGAGAGGCTGCCCGGGTCGGGTGTGCAGACGAAAACAGAAAGGGGCACAGAGGGGAAGACGGGGAGCTGGTCAACAGGGAAGCAGACTCCCAAGGGGAAAGGTTTTCTGCCTTTCCTTTCATTTTCCTGACTTCGGCTGAGCTTTTCCAAGTGCCACCTGAGCCGTGACTGAGCGTCTGTAGGTCTGCTGTTCCATTTAAGGTCCACAGTGTCCCCCTGCAGTCGGCAGTACCAGCCTAGTTTTAGAGATGCTCAGAACTAAGGCCGGAAAGGCGGGGAGCCAGTCCACGCATACTGAGCGCATAAGTGGCAGAGCTGGGGTTCTTCCCAGAGTTTCCTGCTCTTATTTCTGTTACGCCATGCCCACTGGGAACACGCTGGCACTCCTGATAGTTTAGTTATTCGCTGAAAGTCCAGTAAGGCGTTTTGCGAAGCCTGTTTCCATAAGAACAGTGTCTTAAACTCCTTCGTTCATCCCTTTCTTTGACAAGGCCCTTTGGTTTCAGAGAGTGTTTCACATCTAGCCTTCTCTAGGCTACCACAGTGCAGACAGGTAAGTCTGTGAATCTGTCTGCTCCCCAGTGTGTCCAGTCTAGCCCTTGAGAGGAATTAAATGTTAAGCCAAATATGTCGATGGAGATTGGAGAATATAAACTCTGTCCTTTGTGAGGGAGAGGGAAGAGCTTCTGTTTTGTGATTTTACTGATAGTTAAAGTAGAAATTAAGTTGTAGAGAGTGGATGTGTATGTTCTGTGTTAGGTGTAAAATGATCCTTCAGATTATCAAATGGCTCGGCTCTGGAAGACAAGTTTGTCAACTAAAGAAATAAGATTGAAAAATTCAGCTTAAAACATCATTCGGGGGGAGGGTATAGCTCAGTGGTAGAGGGTGTGCTTGGCACGCACAAGGTCCTGGGCTCATTATATAAGTAACTTAATTAAATAAATTAATTAATTTTTTATTAAGTAAATAAGTATACCTAGTTCCCCACCCACCCCCAAAAAAGAAAGAAAAAAGTTTAAAAAAAATCTTTGAAAGAATTTTATATTCTCTTCTAGTAAATGCAGAAACTTTACAAATCGCCCAGGGTGCCTTAGTTGTCATTGTTTCACTCTCTGCCCGTGGTCTGATCTTTTCATCCAGGTGCCCTTCCCTCCTCATGACGTGAAACAAGATTTGAAGCCACAAATGTATTTATTGGCCGTATTTTCAGAGTTTTCTCTTTTCGCTTTATAGGGACTGTGTTCAAATATTTTAAAAATATATGAAACAATTTTAGAATTAGTTCTGTCTTCATTATCAGAATAAAAACCAGTTCTTTTGTCATGTTGATATGACTCCCTACCAGAGTCAGCAACATTACTTCCAGGAGCAGAGTCGGGAGAAAAAAATGTTCCTTTTTACTGTTCCCATGGTCTTCTGAGTTACAAAAAAGGAGAACAGTAAGATCCCCAGAGGAGGTGGCTGTAGGTTTATGATAGTCTGGACTCTGAGTCAGAGACTAGATCTGAAAATTTCTTCTATGTTAAAGCTTCACTCAATTAAAATTCAGGTCACATTCGGGGGACAGTTTTTAACTAACCATTTTTTGTTTGGGTTAACTGATAACCCTGAATTTCACTTTGAGCCGAATGATCTTCTAATGGATTTAATGCAGTTTGCATTTTTAAATTATTTTACAGCGTGGCAGCGAAGGCCCAACTGTTTGAAAATGTTGGTTCGCCGAAGCCAGTTTCTTCTGGGCGGTAAGTTCTCAAGACCCTTAAGGTAAAAAGAAAAGGGAAATAGTGGTGATCTTGTCACGCTGTTGACACAGCAGGTCACCTTTGACAGCTCTGTCCCTCAGTTCCGCAGGTGGTCGCATCCACGTCTGCCGTCTCTTCATGGGAAAAAGCTTAGGACCACGTGTAGCGTTTAGCATCTCAGCTGTTACAGCGATGCCTTGCTTGGTCGAACCGTCACAGAGGGCGGGTTCTAAACAAGCAGGTTTCCTAAAAGACACAAGTGGCCGTAACAAAGATTCCTTCGATCATAGTTTGTGGAAAATTTTCAAACATACATCCTTTTTTTATTTAACTGAAGTATAAGTGGTTTACAATGTTGTGTTAATTTACGTTGTACAGCATAGTGATTCCGTTATTTTTATACATATATATATTCTTTCTTAAATTCTTTTTCATTACAGGTTATTATAATTTATTGAGTATAGTTCCCTGTGCTATACAGTAGCTGTTGTTTCTGTTCTATATTCAAACATATTCTTGACTTGTCAGCATTATAAAACTTTTTTCTGCAAGAAGCGTCATGCATTAAAAACTCTGCTTATTCTTAACGGCCCCCGTGCTGCTGTGGGGCGGGTCGCCCCGGGTGGCCCTGGTGCTGAGGGCAGTCCTTCATTCAGGGTTTCCAGATTTTGCCTCCTGCTCCATTGTTAAAAGGACACGGATCGTTACATCTTGCTGCTATTAATGTGCTCGCTTCTAAGGTTTCTGCTTCCCCTTCTCTCATTCCAAATTGATTCTTCTCGTCTGCAGTGGACATTGGTTTTTAATTTTGAATATGTCTAAACGAATGGAATTTCTTGGTATTTTGATATTTCTGATTTTTTTTAACCCATCAGTAACTAGTATAGATTGGAAGCATTCAGTAAATGCTTGCAGAAGGAGAGTATAAATGGGAACATCTAAAGAACAAAGTTTGATTTTTTTTTTTTTGGAGGTACTGAGGCATTTGTGAGCGTCCCATACCCAGTCATGAGGGAAGGGAATCACAGGTGATTGAAGGATTTCTGTGTAGTTCTTTAAAAAGTGATTCAACCATAGCATTTGTATTGTCCTTATAAAAATATGTGAACTTTTCCAGCAAGCATTCATTAAGCACCTACACAGTATTGGACTTGTCCTAGTTACTATGGATAACAATGACCTTCAGACCATTTTCTTCCAAAGCCTAGTGAGGGCCCCCATGTATCAGTCCTGCACAGAGGGGAACCACTCTGGTATCTTACTAGGATGATAGTCAGTGCCTTGCGGTTACGTAGCAGATCCCAGAGTACTTCCGTCTGTCTGTAGCATCTTCACCGTCTTCCTTTCTGTCAGGCCTGTGGAAACCAGGCAGCATGCATGTCAGAGCAAACATGGTTTCTCTGAAACTGCCACCAATGTGAGGCCGGAGCATAAAGGATTTAATCTTCCGGCTTCCCTCTGTCTTACTGAATGGCTGAACTGCTCCACTAGGTGGAGCCCTTTTATTAGAAAGCTCCAAATAATCTGTTAAGTAAGAACTCAAGTACTAGAATCAGAGATAATCTTTTAAGAGCTTTCAGGAAGCAAGATATGAATGAGGCAAATCAGTGTTGGACAGTAAATTAATGAAGCTGTTATGTACTAAGTGTACTCAGATGTTCAGCAGTGAACCTTGCATTTATAATATGCTTTTACATTCTGAATACTCTAAAGCCACTTCTAATAAGCTGTCAGCACTCAGTGGTACACTGAGTGTACAGTCTTCTCTGCCAGCGAGTCCACAGCACTTGTGGACAGTGTCATACCCTTTCACCTGCCCTTTCATTTTGCTTAACTTGGCCTGCCCCTCTGGATTTAGCTGAAACAGTTACCTGCTGAAGTCTCCAGCTGCCCCCACCTGTTGTAGAACCTCTCTGCAGGGCAGGCGGGCCACACGGACTCGTGGGGGGGGGGGCGGGGGTGAGCCCTGGTGGGGCCGCTGCCGTAAGAGATCTGGGCTGCTTGAGTAAGTGCCAGCAGTGGCTGCCCCAGCCCCACCCAGGCTCTGCCCCCGGACTAGACCGTGCTTCCCTGTGATGTGGAGGGGGCGGGCTGGAGCGTTCATTCGCCGGGCTTGAGCTAGGGTGTGTGGTGCAGTTGCAGGACACCCAGCAGCCACTAGGGGAGCCCTCTCCACCCCGCCCCGGGGGGCAAGCCAGTGCGCACGCCCTCCTCCCGAGAGGAGTCCAGTCCAGGACCTCCACTGCCATCTGCTGGCCCCCGTGGTCCTCCAACCAGCCTACGGGGCTTGTCTCCCCGACATAGGACCCCAGGACTGGGGCACCTAATCTGTGGCTCGAACCACTCACTCCCCAGGGAGGCTCTCTGCCCGTCCAATCTCCCTTTGCCTCTGAGTCCCCTTCCAGGGGCAGAGGTCCCAGCCCGATTGCTTTTCATCCCTTCCTCGCCGATTCTGCGTGCATCATTCTTACAGCCTTGGTTGTTCAGGAGTCCTGCCAGTTTCCAGTTAGTTTCCAGTGAGAATTCTTCCACATGTAGGTATATTTTTGATGTATTCATGGGAGGAGGTGAGCTCCACGTCCTCTAACTCTGCCAACTTGATCTGAGCTCTGGGAAGTCTGTTTTCTTTATCTGTAAAATGAAGATAATAATTCTGTTTCTTACAAATGGTTGT